CAAACTCTATTAATTAATCGAGCTCAAGCTCAAACTCAAGTCAAGGGTGACTCAAACTCAACTCCACTCATTTACACCCCTAGTCAAATCAAAATGTTGAGAATTTAATAAAAAATAGAAAATATAGAATAAAATTTTATCATGAATTTTAATATTTAGAGAAAATTTTTTAAAATGGAAGTAAAAAGAAGATAATTTTATAAGTAATTAAAGTGATTGCCTTATTATTATTATTATTTTACTAGCATTATAAAATATGATGATCCTCATCCAAGTGCTTAATGATCATGATAAAATATATTTATTTAAAGTTATGCTTTAAACCTCACACAATCACAAATGGTGTATTTAATTTATAATTTTCTTTAACATATCACTGTTATATTTTTATTTGATTATTATTTGATAATACTTAAAATAAATTAATGAGAAGTGATTTCTAACAATCTAATCTCTAAAATACGATAGTTATTAAAAACCTATTGTCCAAATTTTTTTATATATAAAAAAATTATAATATTGACATTAATTAAAAAAATATTTAACCAAAAGCGATCGATCGTACGTCACAAACGAACTCATTTATCTAAACAGATTATCATATTAAGAAAATATTGAAAATTTTAATTAAAATTAGTTATGATAAAGTTTTTAAATTTATTTTGGGATTGATATATCTTCAAAAAATTATCTTGATCCGACACGAATCTCGACGCAAAATCAAGTTAATTAGAAACTTCAAAAAATAAATCGGAAATCATATGAACTCCCATTTCAGCAAACTTATAATAGAACTGAAGGTCTCAAAAATACAAACCCAACAACACAAAAGTAAATCCAATCCGAGCTCAAATAGGTCCAAATCAAAGGCCTGAAGTGCATTTGAAAGGTTTAATTCATAATTTGGATTACCAAATAATTTCCAAACGTGACATGCTTATAGTCAAATTGAGCGGCCCGATGAGACAAATCCAACGAGCCCAAGATTGTCAAATTCTGATAACGTTAAGACATTCAAATGCCTAGTAAACAGTCCACAATCAAGGGCAACATCGGCCGTCCATTCAAATCACTCACAATTTATTCTTGATTTTTCTCCTATTTATTAGTCAGCCACTCTCTGAAAACTATAAATAAACCCCTAATTTCTCATGAGTGGAGATCCAAGCAAGAAGAGAAGAGAAGGAAGCAAGAAGGAAGAGAAGTAAGAGAGCACTATTGCCACCAAACTCCTCCTCGACCACTGCCAGACTTCCACCCCGTAACCGACGGACGCCAGAGTTCTTCCCGACCTCCGACTGAAGCCGGAATTCTACCCGACCACTGACTAACGCTAGAGTTCTGCTCGATAACCGACTAACACTGGATTTCTGCCTCGATCGTCAATTGTATCCAGATTTCTGCCTGACCACCAAACATCGTCAAATTTCTGATATTTGTTCGTAAGATTCCAACCCGACTATTGACTATTGTAATATGATTGTCCTTAATTCAAGGATAAATCAGACACTTGTAATCAATTCAAACACAACTAGAATCTTTTCATCTGAGCATGACCCTGTGATTTTTTCCTTCTTTACGGTTTTCTACTTAAAAATCATGACGTTCTTTCATCTTTTGTTGTGTGTTGGATATCCTTACAACGCTAAGACGAACAATTCTAACTCTATCGCCGCGTATATTCTAGCCCGCAACAGGAATAATTATAAAATTTTATTTTAATTAAATTATTATAATATCTGACCAATTGTTTCTTCCACATTTGTGTCTTAAAAGGGTGGGGAAAGCAGCCACATTAAATTTTTTTTTTCCTATTAGCTCAACCAATCAATCGCCCATTATAATTTGGGAAGATATAAAACGATTAAATGCAAAAAAGTTGTGATCTCCCATCTTATATGCATAAATAATTTAGTTATTTTTGGGCAAAGCTAACACTTCCACCATTTAATATCTAAAAAATATTCTTAAGGAGTTTACGAATTTCACTAATTTGAGAATTAATATTTCAAAATCTAATATTTATCATTTTAAAAGTGTGGATCCTAATACTTAAAATTTCCATGGAGATTAACGCTTCGTTTGGGACGGCTTTCTCTTATTGCTTCTTAAAACAATTTTCTAGTACAAAAATTTTACTTTTAGTACTAAAAAGTTGGTTTAAGAAGGAATAAATAAACTATCCCATATTTATTGGACATAAATAATTTTTATTGGGATTATGACTTTTCAAGGAATTATCATATAAAATGATGTCTCAAGTTTTATCCCACACATGTGTAATATATAGGACATGCGAACTTTTGCACATGCTTGATTTCTTAGAATCGATTGAGGGCTAGTTGATCCGCCATCAACGTAAGCTTATATAACGAAGGCACATCCAAGATTTCATATAGTTTTCCTACTAGAATTAAGTATAAATTGGGTTCTTAGGACCTCTACTCCGATCGATTTATAAGAAATTTATGATTTTTTTTTTTTATTGTTCATAGAGACACAATCATTCTTTGTAAGAATGGTTATCTATCATAATTGCCTTTTGACGTGCATATTTGATCTTAGTGAATTCCCGAAATTACACTGATCACTATAAGACCTATACAAGAGTTCAATTTACAAGACATCTATGGTGTTTGGTTAATATCAGAGAAATGCTTATTTCCCTACGAAAATGGCAATATATTATGGTTGTCTTTCGAAGGCCCAAAATTTAATCTCTCTAAATACTTGAAATTACAATGACCGCTATATTTCTCTCATGTGTGTTTCGTTTGTGGCATTCAATTGTTATATGAAAGATGAATACTTTAATATGAAATAACATTGCTACCTAACATTATTATTTTTTAATGATTCTAAACTAGCTTGACCGACACGCTTTATGCTATTTCTAGTGATCCGGCAATTAAAATTTTATCTATCAACCCTAATAGACTCATGGCATTAAGTGCATCCAAATGTTACATCAGATCGACCTCTATGAGGTCATGTTCACCAATTTCTAACTTGTTGCATGTGCCAACCAGTGTCTAAGTGCGCCTATTAGGCTAATCCAAGGGCTGGATCATCAAGCAACTTTCCTGATTGAGACGAATGAAAAAATGTTTACCATATAATATGAGCTTGAATTTGATAAATGCTTATAGAAATTATTGAAATGCTCATTACAAAATAGAAATAAGCTAATGCATGATGGAAGATCTACATGGCTTGGATTTGTAGCAATATAACTTTGAATATAGAGTTCAATTGCATATCACTTTACCCTTTTATTTTATTTTATTTTATTCACACATAATATATTTATTTATTCTTAAAAATCCATTTAATTAAATTTAATTTTAAATGATTTAATTAAATAGGAGTCTTGCTTTCCATAATTGTCTTCACTCTCTCAATAATAGAGTTTGGCTACATTCATTGAACTAGAAGCTTAATTATGTATGGCCCTACTATTGTCTTTGAGAGTTCTCTCAACCCAACAATTTGTCTAACTTGACATTATTAGATTAGATGGAAAAATTTATGGAAGGATATCTTGATATAAATGATATTATGATAGGATGAAATATTATTGTACTTACTTTGAGAATAATGTAATATAAATCATTCATACATAGCACTAATCTTAAAGTAATAAATTAGAATATATTAATAATATTGAATATAAAGATGATACATCAATAAATTCATATATTAAAAAAGTCTGTATTATTGTAAAACCCTAAAAAAAAAAAGCGAACTCGCCATCCACATCAAATAATCAGCATTAATAAATTCTTCAATAAATAAATAAATAAGAATAAGTTAAAATATTATGATTAAATTTTTTATCATAATAAATTTTATTTATTTTTATTTTTTTAAATTGATGTAATATTGATTATCCAAAAATTACACTCATCTCAAAGCCAATTATGAAAAATTGTGATGCTCATTTGACTTTATGAACATAAATAAATAAATGTTTATTTATTTATTTATGAACAAAAATAGAAAAAAGCAGTATCACTACTTTTGTCATTCAAAGACAATAAGCCAACTATTGCTTGGTTTCAGTAAGAATTATTTCTCAGTTAATTAAACTGTTCCAATTAAAAAAAAAAAAAAAACTCTCAAACATATCAAACTCCTTCCCTAACCTCACAATGAGTCAGCTCCAAACCTCATTGACCAATCACATTTACTTACCACAAAAAGAAAAAAAAAATTCAAATAAACTAAAAAAGCCAAATAAACTAATTTTTTTAATACAAATAAATATATTATTTGATATAAATTTAATAAAATTATTTACAATTATATCCATTTCAAATTAAATTGAAAGACAAAATCTATTTTATAAAATTGATTGTGCAAAGCAATTTAAATACCCTGGTCGAAAAAAATAACTTTCCATTATATAATTTTTAAATAAGTAGTGAGAAATTAGTCTAGAAGTAGCAGCCTACAAATAAAGCTATCATTAGCGACTGAAAAGCGAAGCAAAGAGAAAGCTACCCCAAATCGTTAGTGTCAATTTGGGACAATCATAACTTTTTATAAAGATGATTGTAAAGCTATTCTAAGTAAAAATAACTTTTTTGAAAGTTGTTATAAAAAGCTCAAACACAAAAATTTCTTGAAAACAATGAAAAAATAGACGCCAAACAGAATGATAAGAAAATTATCCAAAACAAATCTTTAGAAGTCCATCTTAACTAATTTGTTTTTTACAAAAATTAGTTATTTGATATGTAAATAAATAGAAATAGTATGATATATATGTATATTTTCATAAAAATAAATGTTAGCCAACTTATAATACAGCTACACATCTAACCAAAAGCCCAACCCCAACATAAAGAAGTCACAGACCTAAGCCAACACATGGTAGCCAAAGTTGTTGGGCAGATAAGATTACGTAAGCCAGCATTCAAAGCTCTCTTCGAATCAAACATCTTATAATTAGTCGTCTAAATGCTATAAACCGAAGCAAAGCGCGCAGAAATTATAACAAAAACCATGGAGTTCTTAGCTCTCTTCTCCACGATCATCTTCCTCCACGCTGTCCTCGTTCTATTATACAATCTGATCGACAAATGGCGCCACCGCAACTGCTACCTCCTCGACTACGTCTGTCTAAAGCCTTCCGACGAGCGCAAACTCCCCACCAATCTCTGCGGCGAGATCGTCTCTCGCAACTCTTGTTTGGGTCTCAACGAGTACAAATTCCTTCTCAAAGTCATAATCAGCTCCGGTCTTGGCGAGTCCACTTACGGCCCTCGCAACATTATCGAAGGCCGCGAAGCCAGTCCGACCTTGTCGGACTCCATTTCCGAAATGGACGAATATCTCTTCCCTTTAGTTGACTCCATCTTCCTCCGCGTCAACCAAAGTTTCCATCTTTCACCTTCCTCCATCGACATTCTTGTCGTCAACGTCTCAATGTTCTCTCCTGCTCCTTCCCTCGCGGCCAGAGTAATCAACCGCTACGGCTTCCGGGAAGATATACTGGTCTATAACCTCAGCGGCATGGGCTGCAGCGCTAGCCTCATCTCAGTCGATCTCATACGAAACATCTTTAAATCTCATAAGAAAAAAATCGCTCTTTTATTGTCTTCAGAGTCCATTTCCCCTAACTGGTATAACGGAAATAAGCGATCTATGATGCTGGGAAACTGCTTATTCCGCTCGGGCGGCTGCGCCGCGCTTCTGACTAACGATCCCTTCCTCGGCGGCCGCCATGGAAAGCTTCAGTTGCGTCGTCTGGTTCGAACGCACCTCGGCCGAAGCAACGAGGCGCACACTTGCGCTTGCCAGAAGGAAGACGACGAAGGACGCCATGGGTTTCATTTAAGCCGCGAGCTGCCCGCTGCGGCCGCTCAAGCTTTTTTCGAAAATCTCCGCGTTTTAGCTCCCAAAATCCTTCCTTTAACCGAAATCGCGCGTTACCTCTTGGCGTCTGTATGGAAGAAGAAGACGACGTCGATGTCGACTGTAAATATGAAATCCGGAGTTGAACATTTCTGCCTTCATACAGGCGGAAAGGCAGTAATTGAAGGCATAGGGAGAAGCTTGGGGTTGGACGAAAAGGCCTTGGAACCGGCGAGAATGACTCTCCATCGATTCGGTAATACTTCTGCCAGTAGTGTTTGGTATGTGCTTAGTTATATGGAAGCAAAGAAGAGGCTGAGAAAAGGGCAGAGGATTCTTATGATGACCTTTGGATCTGGATTCAAATGCAACAGTTGCTTGTGGGTTGTGATGCGAGACTTGGACGATTGTGGAGTTTGGGAGGATTGTATTAAGGGTTATCCGCCGAAGACATTGGTGAATCCTTTCTTTGATAAGTATGGATGGATTAATGATCCAAATGCAGAGGTTTTGGTGCAGAAATTTAAGGACGGGATGGCCAGGGGGGAGAAAAGAGAGAGCTTGACGGATCTTATTTGATTTTTTTAAATTTTTTTTTTTTTTTTCATATGGTATGTGTTCTTATACATTTGCATTTGAAAAAAGGGGATTGAGGAGATGAAATATTAGATTATATGTGCCCGAAAGAATGGGTTTACTGCTTTTTTATCACCATATCAGTATTGTGTTTCTTATCTGGTTTCAGTCTTTCTGTTCTATTTATTTGAAATTTGATCTTCGAATAAATAATTAGTTTTTTTTTCTTTAAGTTCTTCTTATTATCAAAATTGTTTGAAGAAAATGAGCAGAATATATTTATTGAATAAATACATGTTGATTACATGCAATAATGATCTATCAGCTCATTTTCATGCAATTTGTATCAGTATATTTATCTGAAACAGCTTTTTACAGATTTCTTCTCATCTTCTGTTGCTGTTTGTTAGAAGAAGCTGCTTAAAAGCTTTTTTATTATCAATTTTATGATGTATAATTAGTTGTTTTCTTTCTCTCTCTGATAATGAGTTTTCACGTTAATTGAGGAGAAGGAAGCAGAAATTAATGATAGCAGACTGAACTTTTTCTTCAAAACAGGCTATTTAATTCCTGAAAGCAACTTTAGCCATTTTGTTAACAGTGGTTGTTTGCGATTGACTTCCATTAAATGCAAAGTGTGTACCTTTGATTTGTTTAAGTGTCGGTGACTTAAAAGACTATTCATTCAGATTATATAATTTAAAAATATTGAAGATTTTCATTTTAATATGAGTGAAGAAAGTGATTTTTAGAATCTAAGATAATATTAAAATAAAAAAAACAATAACATAACTATGAAATTATTCCAAAAAAAAAAAAAACATTGAAAAATTTGTGCCAATATTCTTTCTAAGCCGACTTATGAGCAGACTCAAGCTTCGTTTGGAACGATTTTTTTACTGTTTCTTAAAGCAGTTTTTTAGTATAAAAGTTTTAATTTTGGCACTACAAAACTGCTTTAAGAAGCAGTAAAAAAGTCGTCAGAATACAAAGCCTCAAGCTTGATCAGATTGATGAAGTCAATATATAGTTAGGGTTAATTAGCTCAAACTAAGTGACCCTACTCATATCTTGGGATGTGTATAAAACTGACTGGATTGAGTGTAGTACTGTTCTTTAAAACCATCTATAGAGAGCAGCGAAGGTCACCATTTACAGATTCAACTACAGAATCATTACTGCTTACATGAAAGAAGGCATGGGTAATAAATCAACGCTGGAGAGTTTCTGTGAGAAGATTTATTGATTGGGTACTGTAGTACACCACTATCTCATTCAATGCATCAGAGTAGCTCCACCATCTTCTCTTCTAAAGGATTTAAGTACCTGCACATGGCTACTCATGGATACTCATGGATATGTACTGGTGGCACAAAAAAGAATTAAAGGCTTGTAATGCCTAGACAAACCTGGTAAGATGAACTGGATCGATGTTTCTTTTGTGTATTGTATTCTTCAAGCTTTGATGAGAGAGTGAACATGGAGCTAGGCCTTTAAAAAGGGGTTGAATTACCTGTCTTATGGAGAAAGAATTATTGTTGTATTGAAGTACTGAAGAGAGGGAATGAATATATACAATGGTTTGGTTGATGAAGTTCTTTCCAAAGCTTAAAGATTAAGTTTTTTTTTTTTATTGTTGTTAAGAGTTCTTGTATTTAGAATGTGTAGAATATATACAAAGGAAAGTATAAGGCATGTTTGATTCTAAGTTATCAAGACAATATTGTTTTCTTATTGTCTTCTAGATAGCAATGTTAAATACTCTCTCTCTCTCTCTCTCTCTCTCTCTCTCTCTCTCTCTCTCTCTCTCTCTCGATACTAAAGTGTCATGACTTATTTGAACAATGATTGGGGGGTGTAGATAGTATTTTTATTATTTAATGCAACATTTTAAAACTCAATTTTGATTTTTAATCTCATAGCAAAATGTTCACTATTGATTGTTTAGATAATTTTGATTGATTTTATGACCAATACTTTAATTATTTTTTAGAGCTATGAATAGAAAATTCTAAAACTTAGTTTTGATTTAAATTTCAGCTTGATTGTAAAGTGTTCTATAAATTTGTTTGGGAAGACTGCAGCTTTTTGTAAAAGTGGTTATAAAGATATTGTCAAGAAAGCAGCTTTCTAAGACAAATTTTTAAAAGTAATAACCAAGCAAAATTGTTGTTGGTTGAGTTGGGATTTAACAAATTTTTAATACTTTAATCTTATGTATTTTGAAAAGCAAATTAAGTAGTAAGAAAGTTATTCCAAATAGACCCTATATCAATAGTGTTGTAGCTTAGTTGAGTTGGGATTAAGTTTTCATTGTGATTTCAATTAATTTCCAAGATTTTACACAATATATATTTTTTTAAATGCATAAGATAAATAAGATTATCTAATTGAAGTTAAAGTTATAATAAATATGAAATTTGATTAGAGGTTAGTAATTGAATTTGATAATTTAAATGCATAAGATAAATAAGATTATCTAATTGAAGTTCTTTCCAAAGCTTAAAGATTAAGTTTTTTTTTTTTTTTGTTGTTAAAGAGTTTTTGTATTTAGAATGTGTAGAATATATACAAAGGAAATGTTTGATTCTAAGTTATCAAGACAATATTGTTTTCTTATTGTCTTCTAGATAGCAATGTTAAATACTCTCTCTCTCTCTCTCTCTCTCTACTAAGTGTCATGACTTATTTGAACAATGATTGGGGGGTGTAGATAGTATTTTTATTATTTAATGCAACGTTTTAAAACTCAATTTTGATTTTTAATCTCATAGCAAAATGTTCACTATTGATTGTTTTGATAATTTTGATTGATTTTATGACCAATACTTTAATTATTTTTTAGAGCTATGAATAGAAGGTTCTAAAACTTAGTTTTGGTTTCAGCCTGATTGTAAAGTGTTATATAAGTTTGTTTGGGAAGATTGCAGCTTTTTGTAAATGTTGTTGTAAAGATGTTGTCAAGAAAGCAGCTTTTTAGGACAAATTTTTAAAAGCAATAACCAAGCAAAATTGTTGTTGGTTGAGTTGGGATTTAACAAATTTTTAATATTTTAATCTAATGTATTTTGAAAAGCAAATTAAATAGTAAGAATGTTGTCCGAAATAGACCCTATATCAATAGTGTTGTAGCTTAGTTGAGTTGGGATTAAGTTTTCATTGTTATTTCAATTAATTTCTTACAACAAGATTTTACACAAAATATATTTTTTTAAATGCATAAGATAAATAAGATTATCTAATTGGAGTTCAAGTTATTATAAATATGAAATTTGATTAGAGGTTAGTAATTGAATTCTAGTAGAAATTTGTTAACTATTAAAGAGATTTAGCAAAACATCATTATCAATTTACAAGTTTCAAGCCAAATTCTTGAGTTTCAATGTAAAACCAAGAGTCTCTGTAAGTCAACCAAAATTAAAAAATAAGGGTTTTACACATATACTACTGAATTATTGTATATTTATACAAATAATATCTAAAGTATATATTGTATTTTCTTATATAACACTAATATTTAAATCACATAAAAAGTATTACTAACATTAACTATTCTAAATTTTTTTTACATATTTTCATGTCAATGTTTTCATTATGATTTAGATACTAGATCAGTATTATAAAAGTAAATATAAAAATTTGAAGGTTAGATGTGTAAATATATTAGAATTATTGATAAGTATGTAAATCCTCTATGTGAATATTACTAATTTTAGAGCATTTTCAATGAAATTAAAATTCCTCTAAACTACGAAACTAGAATTGAAATTAATAAATTTTAAAGTCATAATTTAATTTATTATATCCATAATTCTTGAAAAGACTCCAAAATAGTTAATTATAACAAACATCTTTTGAATTATTAATGGTTTGACAAGTGCGCTTATAATGATAAATGTACACCATTTTTTTGTTAAAACTCACAGATGGACCTACGCGTTAATTAAAAAGACAATTACAAAATCTTTAAGTGGAACCTTCAGATCTCTATCACTCCAAGGAGCTATATAACAAATCCAAAATAAAAAACCTACCAGCCAAAAGTTCCCTCTAATAAGAATTACAGAAAAAACTAGTAATATGCTAGGGAAACCAAGAGGCAGTAACAAAAAAAGAAAGATCCAAATAAAGACAATTAGCACCATGTTTCTCATAAAAAAAATTAAGCATACAACCAACATCAGCAAACTAAAAGCCTGCAAAAAAAAAAAGAAAAAAAAAAAACTCTACAAACAAAAAGGGGTAGATAGTAAATAGTATAGGAATTAGATGTAGAATTGAAAAGAAGGCGGATATCATAACCGATATGATCAGAAGCACTATTAGGAGCCATATATCAAGAATGTACACCCTTATTTGTCTAAGATAGGCTGATTATTCTCCTTAAAGAATAGTAATTAAGTTGGTATGAATAGTAGAATCATTCAATTAGAAGTCAAGTAGAAGATCATATAGATCAAATCTATGAATAATAGAATCATTCAACTAGAATTTCAAGTAGAAGATCATATAGATCAAATTATTCATTAATGGCAAAAGAGTGAAAAAAAATAAACTAATAGCTAGTGGGGAATATAGTAATAAATTATTAAAAAAACTATATTACACAAATTGTTCATTACCATTAACTTAAATATAGTTCAAGAGATCTATCATCGTAATTTACTAGTGTAATAGATCTTGAAGCATATAGGAATAAAATTCAAGAAGGAATCATAAATATTAGGGGGAAAAAACTTATTGTGGAGAAGACACCATCATCAAATACACATCACAAAGCTTGATAAAAAAAATTTAGGCTTCATTTGGAACTACTTACTACTACTTTCTAAAGGAGCTTTTTAGTACAAAAATTTCTTGTACAAAATGTTCAAGAAAACTATCTCAAATGAAGTCTTACACGGTAAACCACTTCACCCTCCAAATTATTTGAGAAAAAATCAATTTAAATATTCAATATGTTAAGCCTTTGAGAGCCCTCAAATTCAATAAAAACATATTTGATTATCACTTGCAAGAAGACTATACCCACTCTCCTTCCTAGCTATTTGGGAATCATTGAATTTTGCAAGTAGTTTATGCAATTCATTTCTTTGTTTTTCATCCTTATACTGGAAGAAATATCATCAATCCATGAGAGACTTTGTAAATTGCCATGAGATTAGGATTATTCTACTAAATACCCCACTCCAATATAACTTTATTTGATGAATAATCAAGAACTATTATGCTTAGGTGAGACAGAAGATTTATATGTGTTTTTACTTATACTCTCTCTTCCTCTTTCACATGAAGCTTTCATAATTCCCAAGACACCAACAAGCAAGAAATTTCCTTCACTATCATGATCTGTCATTTGCATCCTCCATCAATGAATTCATTCATATAATCTAAATTGATAATACTATAATTTATACAAGAAAATTTTAAAAATTAAATATCTTTTTAATTTATTGTAAATCCTAAAAAAAAAATTATACTTAATTAATAAAGTTAGGAAAAATAAAATCAATCAAATTTCTTAAAAAATATTTTCAAATGAGTTATATATATTATATTTATTTTTCTCATGAAAAAGGATTGAATGAGAAGAACACTCCAACTAAGGCACAAAATGAGCAAGGGATATTTATAATTAAAAAACCTCTTAGAAAAAAGACTTATTAATAAGTCCTACTCTCCATTGAGTTGTACATCATTTTATGTTTAGGGTTTAGGATAAAGGAGTAAAAAAAAAATTTATTATTAATTATAAATCACTTAATCAAATTTTAAACTAAATTTGTTATTTTTTATTTAAAAAATCTTTTAATAACCTTTAATTTCAAAAAATTAAAGTATGATTATTAATTTCAAAAAATTAAAGTATGATTATTTGGTAGATTTATATGAGATCAAGAAAATTAATATAAAATAACTTTTATAATTTCATTCAAACTTTATAAATGGAACATTATGCCTTTTGGCTTTAGAATGCTCTAAGAGAATTTCAAAATATTATGAATGACATTTTTTATGATATTCAAAACAAAATATTATGTAAATAAATAATATTTTGATTTACTCAAATTTTGAGATGAACATTTCAAAGGCTTCGAAGTTTTTAAATGGCTTAGTCTAAAAAGCATTTGTCATTTTTACTCTAAAAATAAAACTTTTAAAACTAAATATTTATTTTTTAAGTCATAATATCAATTACCAATGGAACAATAATCCTTATTGACAAAGGTGTAGAATTGGCTTTTAAATTTTTTGATGGAAATCTTAACATCAATCATTTATAAGGATTTTTTGGGATCTAAGATTTCATTTGGGATAGTTTTTTTTATCATTTTGCTTTCATTATGCAGCCACAATTTCTATTTTGCTACTATTTTTCAATTGATTTTAATAAATTTTAGTTAATTATTATAGTTCAATAATTTTATCATAAAATTATTAAAAATATTTAAAAATCGTCTCTTTCTTATTTCAAGTGAATTTTTTTATTATCTCATTTAATTTCTTATTTCAAATAATTTTATTTTATAATCTTCTTTCTTTCATAATAAATGAACCGAATCGTGAGCCAATTCAAATTCATAGAACTAAGTTGGAGCTCAAGCTTAAGCTCGATTTATTAATAAGCTCAATTTCAAGCTAGATCATCCCAAACTATTATACAAGATTTAATAGAAGATCATTATGAGAAAACTACCAAATTTAGAAATGAGCATCTTCCTCTCAATGAGCTCTTAAAAAAAAATCTTTCAATAAAACTGATATAAAAAATATTCTTGAGATTAATTATGAAGATTATGATATTAATCTCCCTTAGACTATCACAAAGATATTTACAAAGTTACTCATTTCCACCTAAAGTGAATTATAAGAGAATTTTCCTCTCTTATATGATGAAATAAATAATCAGGAAGTAAAATTCTCCTTGATTTTGTAAAATTTTGGCACCAATTTAGGCATAATGCATGAATAAACTAAAGATATTTGTAAAAAAAATTTATTTTTATTTTCTAGAAATCTAATGAAAGGTCAATAACAATTATACTTCATAGAATGTCAAATTCTATAAATCTCATGTTGTACAAAATGGAACCAATTAAACCTTATGAAAAATTACAACATATTAATTGAGTCTATAAATTAAAAATAATCAAAGTGTTAAATACCATTAAGTATAATTCTTCAGTAGAATTCTCTCTTTGGGTTTAAGTAAAATGACCTTATTAGAAAATAATATCATAAATCAATCAGTTAGATAGGTTAGTTAACATCGAATTTGCTGCGGATTTGTGGCAGATTTGCCATCCCAAATTTGTGGCAAATATTCAGCCGCAAATACGCCGCAAAAAAAAAAGGATAAATATTTCCGTCGCAAAAAAAAACCGCCGCAATTGCCACCGCAAATTGCTTTCCTGTAGTGCATCAAAGTAAATAAAGAATATTGAATGATTATCAAAGACAATATTTTGAACTATTGACATCTACACCAACCAAAATAAAGGATGCCATAAGTCAATATCATATGATAAAATTATGTCATCCGTAAAAGATCAAAACTTAGCAAAAAGGCTAACCACAATTAAAAAAAGACTCATAATTATAACAATTGAAAAAAAGCAAGAGGAAACCAATAGCACTAATATTTTACTTTAAAACATATAAACAACATAATTATTTTTCAACTAAGCTAGAAGGAAATGCCAAGATAAACTTTTAGTACCTATAATTCAACAAAGCCTTAGCATGTCCAAAAAGAAGTAGATCATTTTCTAAACTTGTAAGAATAGGACAATAGAAAGTTCATCAATATTCTCCCCCTCATAAATAAGCCTTTAGTAAACATCAATTCTCTCCCTCTCTCTATTCTAGATAAACTTTTAATAGCTATAGTTCAAGTTCTTGCTATGTCCAAAAAGAAATATGCAAGTTTCTAAATTTGTAAGACAATTCAAAGTCCACCAAAGCTCTCCCCCTCATAAATTCACTCATAAAAGCTTAGTTTTTCATCATAATCAACATAAAAAAAAAAAAAACAGATCTAATTCTTGGATGACAGTTTCAGAAGAAAAAGACCTTATGAAATATACAGTATATAGATGGCTTCTCACATGTCCTCAGTTGGGTTCTTGGGGTGTTAAGAATGTTTAGAGGGTCTAATAGCTACTTCTACACAAATGAATTGGCTTAACTCTGCTATTTGCTTAATCAGCAATCACAATGGAAAACAGAATTACGAAAACAACTATTTTTGGGTGGAATTTTTCTTACTCCATTTTCATGTATGGCTCTCAGAGTGAGGGGGGATATGTAGATTCTCTCCATGATATTTACTTTGGGAGCTTCAACGATTGCTTTTGGGGGAGATAGAGCCCACTGCATTGCCCAGATAGCAAGTGGGCGCATGTAGATGAGGGAACGGTAGTGCCCATCAATCGTCCATCCTTCAGGAGTCTGGAACCAGTACCTAAAATCCACATAAACAGACATAGAAAGTTAGAAAACTTGGGGGCTGTTTGGTATCCTGTTTTAGGAAGGATACGCAAGATTTAGCTTAAGTTCTGCCAAACAGAATTTTTGGGACTTTGAATTATACTATTTTGATGAATCCCATTGATCAGGATTTGTTAAATCTTAAGATTTAACTGTTATGAAGAAAAGTAATTCTCATGTTTTAATAATTTCATGATTTACTAAATCTTGAGGAGCTCCAATGGAAGATAAAGATTAGAGAGAGTTGTCTTATAGATGGTTTGGTCAGATAAAATGGCAGGCTTCCGATGATCCGGTTGGGAAAGTAGATGAAGTAGATTTGAATTGTGTTAAGGGTAGAGGTATACCTAAAAAGACTTGGTTAGAAAATATTAGAAATGACATTTCTTTATTAGATTTAAATGAAAATTTAACTTTTAACAGGTCATTATGGAGAAAAAGGACTTATGTAGCCGACCCCACATGGTGAGAAAAAAGATTGATATTGTTGTTGTGTGATTTACTAAATCTAAATTTACATAATTACCTAAATCTTTATAGTAGCCAAACAGCCCCTTTAGTATAAATGTCCCTGAAATAATGATATTGAGAATTTATATATATATATATATATATATAATACTTGCAACTTTATACTTTCCGAGTGTTTAAATTAAAATAAAATAAATACATAAAAAAATTCACTAAATAAGTTAATATTAGTGATAATTTTAATATGATATAGAGATTACTTTGTTATATTTGTAAAAATAAATATTTAAGTAATAGATATGTAAGCATGGAAGTAAACCCCCCTAATTATTAAAAGGGCAGACATAATTAACATATGATATGGTGTTAAAACACAGGCAAAAAGAGAGAAAGTTCACATAAGGAATGGTGAAGTGAAAAATACTGACCCGTGTCCTTCCTCCGACCACCCCGCAGTGAAAATGCCTTCAGCAGTAGTAAAAGCTTGCTCCTCCATGCCAGCAAGAACCATGGTGGCAGACAAAGCATAGGTCACTCCAGTCCATATTTCCCGGGATTGCATGCAAGATTCATCCACTTTCCCATTAGGATGCATTCCATTGACTGCCCCTATTCTCCCTCCTTTTACCTTCATCACATTGAAGTCAAATATTTTCTGAAGTGTGCTTCTTATTTTGGTTTCATCAAAAAGAGAGGGCAATCCAGATGATGCAGCATACCATTGCCCTGCTAATTGATCTGCTTGTATGGACTTACTGTTGCTGCTGTTTCCACTGTCATAATTAAAATAAGAACCATTCCATAGCTTCGATTCAAAGGCTTGCTTCGCCGTCAAAAATTTTATTGTACATTTCTCGGCATAAGCATGATCTCCTAGTCGATGAGCCATTGCGGTGGCAGCTTGGAGCGAAGCAAGCCAAAGACACCCACAATAAGCACTGATGCCATGAACTGTCCAAGCATCATAAGTTTGATCTGGGAAACCATCATTCTCAATAAGGCCATCGCCATCGCGATCAAATTGATTCATGTAGTCCATGGCAGCACACACTGCTGGCCATACCTCCCTCCCGAAAGCCATGTCGCCGGTCGCAGCGAAATCCCTATAGACCTGAAGCACAAACTTGGGATTGAGATCCTTCCATTTGCTTGTGTCGTGAATGTTATATGCATTCATTTCAAGCCAAGGATCATGTGTTCCTAGATCATGGGCAACAGCACCTTTAACTTTGCGGATTCCCCAGTTACCATCAGCTAAGAACTTGACTTTTCTTCTGTCTTCATACAGTACTGCCCGCGCAAAATCTCTCTGGATGCTTAGCTCAATTTTGGGAAAGAGATCCAGCAGAGCAAAAGATGCATAAAAATGAACATCATATGTGCACCACATGATGTACTCAACTCCTTCCAAGTATAAAAATCTGCCCACGTTATCAGGATCATCTCGTGAATTAGGAGGATCTGCAAATTCATTGTTTCTGCATTCCGTGTCGCTGTCAACAAATTCCTGTCCTACATTGGAACCACTAACTACCTTCTCATCATCATACCTTGGCCCACTGTCTTCAATAGTAGGTTCAGGAATTGTACCTCCCTTGAGTTTTTTGGAAACAGATTTTCCTTCCCTGTTCGCATTTTTAGAGGACTTGTTATTTTTACCAATACTTAATTTTTCATCAAAGACGGGTGCGCCACCATCTGCGACAGTGTATAATTTAAGAATCAAATTCATTATAAAGAGTTCATGAATAAAGGATCAAAATTATGTATTGTTGTTAAAACATCCATGCATATAAAATAAAATAATAAAGTCTACCAATGACTTCTAGAAGACAAAATGCATAAATATAAAAGAAAACTCATAGACTAAAAAAAAGTTATAAATATGCTATAAGCCACAGACAAACTAACTTAATTTACCATCATAAACCACAAAATCACATGATAAAAAAAGATTAAATATCAATCTTAAACATTAATCTAAAATGAAAGTATGAAAAAGGATTCAAGAAAAGCACACATGTAAAATTTAAATACGCCGTGAGGATTAAGATCCACATTGAAATCACACACAGTCGCATACCTCCTTGCTTGCAGTATGCAACTTGCATGCAATCGCTCGCAACCCTCCCCACTCACAACCTTGTCACTTTCCAACATGTTTCTACCACGCAGAGGCTCCCGACTCGTTTACTACTTGTCGAACCACAACCCCCCTCTCTCTCACTCGACTATCACAAATCAAATTAAAATTTCAAAACATCATAAAAATTATATTATCTATACAAAATATTTTTTATATTTTTATCCCACGTAGTGGGATAAAGGCTTGATGTTGTTGTTGTTGTTGTTATTAGGTATTAATGTGAGTCATCGCCTCAAACTCCTTGAGGCTTTAAAGGAGTACACCTCAAATAAATCAAGTGCAAACATCACTCAGATTATAAAGGCATAAGTCTTGAGACAGGCTTCTAGGCATCTCATGGTATCTCATGGTGAGGTGCGCCTCACAGCCCTGAGTATGGAGACTACAATTATAGGAAAAATTACAAACAATTGAACGTTTTCTTAGCATGAAAGAAGAGACGGCCAAACAAAAGGTTTATCATGATGGAACAAATGGTCACAGAAACAGACAAGTCGACACGGATACGACATGGCACAGACACGGGACACGTTAATTATTGAAAATATAGGATACGGTGTTATAATTTTTATATTTTAAAAATGACGTATAAAAATTAAATAAGTATAATTTTAAAAATAATTTAGAAATAATAAGTCATTTAACTAGAATTTATGCTTAAAATGATTAATATTAGGATGTCAAGAGTCGGGCGTTGATGTCGTTTATCAGTCATCGAGAGAGGAGATGAAAATACCTTCAGTACCAAAGAGAAATGAAAATGAAAATATTTGTGAATGAGGTATTAAGTGTGGACAATTGATTTGATGTTGTGGATAGGAAATAAGATGTTTGTATTTTGAACTTAATGTAAATTTTCTTCTTTTGTGAAATTAGTTTATGAAGGATAATGTTGTTTCAAATTTTGGAGTTAAGGATAAGCTTATTCCTTATTTAATGTTGTCAGTTTAGAAAAAGATAATGCAATTTTAAATTAATTTATATTAATTTTTACTGATAAAAAAGCTATTCTTTGCAATAGATAAGTAATCTCGACCCTCCCATAATATTCTCTTTCTCTCAACTGAGGCAGAGGGCAATTGCTCATACTATGGCAATTGCAGGCACCATGGCAAACCACACATTTAATGAGCCGTCAGTGCAAAGCAAAAAATAGATAAATTAAGTTTGTAAAACGAAAAAACTCATCGAATATCTTATTATGACTCTGTACTAGAAAAACTACTAGCCTCCAAAGTCTTCCGCACATCCAATTACATCACTTTTTTCTTGCTTCTTGGACTTTTTGTTATTATTTTCGCATTTAACATATTTGCTCCTAGTTGGTGTTATATAAATTCATGAAATGAACACATTTCACAAATGAATCTCATATTTAAAATTGTTCAATAAATAATGCATCTTGAGGCGTGCCTCAGAGAGGCACATGTAAAGCAACGTGAGGCTATAGCTTCCTATGAGTAAAAAGAAATGTATGCCTTAAACCAGTGAGGTGCACTTAAATCATTTTCAAAGGAGCATATCTATTTTTATTTTTCTTACGTGTTTGGCTAAAAATAAAACAATAGCCAGGGGCGGAATTGTTATTGGGTTAGGGGGGAAATTGCCCCCCCTTTAAAATAAAAATAAAAATTATTAGAGATGGGCAATTAAGTAACTAGACCCCATAAATTTCTTATTTTGCCCCCCCTTTTCCCTAACCCGCCGAATTCACGAACAAAGCACGACGGGAAGTCACGGTCTCACGGAAGGCTTCGGTGATTCGCGCAAGAGGAGGTTCTGGTCATCTGGAGATTGGATTTCGCCAAGTTCGTCCACTGCTTGCGGTCTGCTTATCGCTGTCGGCAGGGTCCGTTCGTGAACGCAAAGGCCTCCGGTGAGATCTAGGTCAGTTTTGACTTTTGAACACATTGCTTGATTGTTCTGTCTGTTATTTTTTGTTTGATTTTATGTTATTTTGATGGATTTTCATACCGAAATAATGTGTGCTTTGTGGTATTTCATATTTTCATGGATTCATGGAGGCTCTTCATTTTTTTGCTATATCTATTTTCATACCGAAATGAACAATAAGAAGGAAAAAAAAAAAGGGAAAAAGCATCTGATGGCCCAACTAGCCTACAATTCACAACATAACTACTAATTCTTCTTTCTGTACCAACTGACTTCTTCTACTCTCTAAAAACTTTTTTGTTCGTTAAAAAAGAATGAAAAAGCCACGATAGATGCGTCTTTTTGTCAGCAAGATCAATCGAAGAAGGTCTAAATTAAATGCATTAGAATTTAGAAGTTTCGACTTCTAACTCTTGATCTAAAATCAATAAGCGAAAGCGACAAACAAACCTGCCATAAAACAAGCAATTCATCCTCTGCCTTAAGCATTAACATCGATCTAATATTACAACTAGCATTATCTTCCTGGATTACGACAAATTTTCCCCAGCCTAACCAACTCCACCCACTACTAAGCACATCAGGAAAGCATAGATTATAAAAAATCAGACGGAATGAGTTTCGGTCGTTATGATTCATTGCAATCTACTCCTCTTTCTACCTGACATCATTTTGATGCTGCTTCACATGTAGAAGCCCATGAAATTATAGAAACAATCTATGAATTAAACAGCAGGAAATTAAACAAATAGAGTGGGGATTCATCTTGATTTTTGTAGATTTTTTCAATCTAGCACAGACACAAATAGTTAAGTGAATTAAAGAATGGGGCACAGAATCTTTTACAATGAAAACAGAAAGGAAATATCCTTTGTTAAATGAATTTTTTTATCAAATTGCCTCAATTTTGATCAAAGATGGTTCAATTTCAGTTTATTAGCATTGTAGGAGTCATCCTTCCTCTTAAACAATCATTTACAAAACATAATATTTATAGATATATTAGAAACTTCATATTTTATATAATATTTTGATTGACGGTTGCTCTTCTTTGGTAATAAATTTCATTTTAGGATTTGGAAAAATGGAGCGTTATTTAAAGAGGAAAGAGTGAATAGAAATTGATTTTAACAATCTCCCAGCAGATCCAGGACTCCGACTTCCTATTTGGAGTTATGATGTAAATGATAGAGATAAGATTCGGAGATCATATCTATTGAAGGGACCACCATCAACCGAGAAGTCATCAATTTCTCCAAACTTTATAAGGAAATATTGCACGTAGGTTCAATCCGAATTGGTTCGATAAATACTCTGATTGGTTAGAGTACAGTGTGTAAAAAGACGCTGTTTACTTTATTTATTGCTATCTATTTAAACCTCAAGAGCAGATTATTAAAGGAAAAGGTGGTGGGGATTCATTTATTGGAGAAGGTTTCAAAAATTGGAAGAAGAAAGAAAAATTATTATATCACGTTGGAGATCAATATAGTGTACGTAATAAAGCTAGACAAAAATGTGAAGATTTGATGAAGAACCAAGAACAGCCGAAATCAACAAAAAAACAGCGGAAGAAGCAAGTTTGCGTTCGGGCGAAACAAAAAAACAACGGAAGAAGCATACATCCACTAATGCAGTTACACTGAAGGTAGCCATTGAAGACATTCTAGCTAAACACTCGTTGAGCATACAAAGGATACGTGATCAAGGTTATGATGGGGCATCCAATATGAGAGGAGAATTTCATGGTTTAAAGGTCCTTATTCTAAATGATAACCCTCATTCGCTCATCAACTCCAATTATGTATGGTAATAGTGGCAAAAAATTATTGGCAAGTAAAACATCTTTTTGAGTTCACTTCTAGAATAATAAATACTATTGGGGTTTCTTGTAAGAGATCAGATGCTCTTAAAAGTATTCAGCATGAGAAAGTACTTCTTCATCTTAAAAAAGAAAATCTCATAAGTAGCAAAGGTTTGAATCAGGAGACAAATTTACAAAAATCTAGTGATACTCATTGGAGTTCACATTTTCATTCTCTGATTAGTCTTATGCATATGTATACTTCTGTGATCGAGGTGCTAGAGATTGTTAAGGAAGGAGTTCATGATCAGCAATCGGTTGAAGCGGGTGTTCTAATTGATATAATGGAGTCTTTTGATTTTATATTTACAATGCATTTGATGATTGATATATTGGGCATTACGAATGAGTTATCACAATCATTGCAATGAAAAGATCAAGACATTGAAAATGCTATGAAATTAGTTCAAATTTCTAAACAACGACTGCAACTTCTAAGGGAGAATGGATGGAATGGTTTACTAGATGAAGTGTCACGTTTTTGTGGTGTTTTTGAAGTTGTTGTTCCAAACATGAATGAAACATATAAAACTCGTCGTCGATCAGTAAGAGGAGGTGAAGATAAAACAAATCTACATCATTATCGTGTTGATTTATTTTATACAGTAGTTGACATGCAACTTCAAGAGCTAAATAATCGCTTTTCTGAATCAAGTACTGAGTTATTCTGTGTATGTCATGCTTAAACCCAAGTGATTCTTTTCATGCTTATGATGAGAGGAAATTGATATGTCTAGCAGAGTTATATACAAGTGATTTTTCTATAATTGAGGTTATTGCTCTTAAAAATTAATT